CCAAATCCATCTCAAGATGTTCTGTTAGTCTCTGGCTGTGGAGCAGGGTGACAAGCAGTGGCTGGGCCTTTCTGCAAGGAGCAGGTTAGGTTTTAAAAACACCCCTGTTAGTGTCTGATTTAATTTCACATGGGGGTTGTGCTTTGATGAAATTTGTCAGATCCCAGCAGGCTTTCTACAGCAGTGTAGTCAACGAAACGCTCTGCTCATGTCCACGGGCAAGGCCGCTTCTCGAGTTGGTCTTGCTAGAGATAGAGCATGGTGAGGGTCTTGCTGGAGCAGAAGATGCCCAAGCTACAGTCCCCAGTGGGTGGCAGAGAAGGTGGCCATCGAACAGCAAAGACTCTGCCCATCTCCCAAGGCAGGCGATGTGAGAGCTAACAGGCCTGCAGAAATGCCTCTTCGAAGCTGAAGTGGCTCTGCCCAGCGACACAGGCTGAGCCCATCCATCAGCTGTCCTGCTGCCTGCCAGGGAGGGTCTCCACTGGGCTCGCCCTGTCAGCAGGATTGGAAGCGTCAAATGCAGGCCGACAGGGCTGGGGTTTGGGGGAGGCCCTCAGAAGGACTGTCTGTGCCACAGTGATGAATGATGCCAGCAGGGACGGCATTCCATGGATTTCTGTTCCGTTCCACACATCTGGTGAGCTCTTTAACCAGAGCAGCTGCAAAGCCTTTGTCACAGGAAGTCCGGGGTTTTTCCAAGAGACCCCGGGTATAGACCACGATAACCTTGGTAGAGAGACCTGGAGCCTGTGCTGAAGAAGATTTACCGATGCATGTTACTTCCTGGAAGCCAAACCCCATGGAGTTTCATGAAACATAAACCCATAAGAGGCTCCAGGGCTCATAAAATAGCAAACCAGACTTGGAGTTAAGTAGGCTTGGTTTCCAATGCCATGTCCTCTGCCTTAATTTTTCCTTTTCTGTAAGAGAAAAATAATAATACCTAGGCCATGGTGTTATTTGAAGGTTAAATAAGATTGTGTGCAACATATTTATTTAGTGTAGTGTCTGATATATATAAAATACTCAATACAAAATAACCTATTACCAGGATTATTTGGGTTAACTCAAGATATTCTCTCTATTCTTCCTGATAAATTCTAGAAACAGATTCTGATAAATAAGCAAATCCACACGTATTTTTTTTTTTATATATCTAGTATAATATGCTCCTGACAGCTGTCTCATTTTTCCCCCAAAGCTCTCCCCTCTCTATAGCCCAAAGAAAGTCTCAAGTAATCTGTATCCAAACCTGGAGTATTTTTTCTACAATCTACCTATGGAACCAAATTTCATGTTAGGCCGCAATCTTTCTCTACGCAGGAAAGTACTTGAACAAGTTTCTAGACTCCTACAGAGCTCAGCGGGCATTTTTATTACCAAATACCTGACCCAAATCTCACATAGTTTCTCTCCTAAATCCCCTGTTTACTTTGCTCCAAGCAGACACCATCCATGCTGGCCGAGCTGTGTGCCCATTGTGTGCAGGCCAATCAGAAGGAAGGGAGGCTTGGCCACAGAGGGAAAAACGATTTGTCAAACACACACATTAACTGCATTGAGGGCTCTGTGCTGGGCTCTGTGGGGTAGAGAGAGGAATAGACATGGCCTTTGCTCTTAAGAAATTCTCTAGTTAAATACCAAGTTAAATATCAACCTCAAGAGAGAGGTGCCATCTAGATCTGGCCATGAAACCTAAAACTGTACAGCCACCTGAGCCACTGAGGAATATTTAAGAATCTAAAATTCTTAGACCACTAGCAACCAATATGAATTAATCCCTATGTGTCCATTTTTTATTATTGCATAATACACTACCCCAAATTTAGTGACTTAAACCATTAACCACATATTTAGATCTTGATTCTTTGAGTTGGCAATTTCGACTGGGCCCAGCTATGCAGTTCTGGTCTGGACCAGGCTCAGCTTGTGGGTCAGCTGGGCTTTCTCATATGTCTGAGGCCTCAGCGGGACCACTGGATCTGTTGTTGACCTCCTATAGAGTAGGTCAGCCTGGTTCAGATGCCATCACAGGGGTCCATGACAGAGAGAAAGAGAGGAAGTACACAAGGTTTCCTGAGGCCTAGGCACACTGTCATCTGGCACACGGTCCTTTTACCACACCCTGTTTGCCAAAGCAAGTCCCAAGGGCACCCCAGACCCAAGGGGTGGGGAGATGGACTTTATCATTTGGTGGGAGGAGCCGCCAAGTCACAGGACAAAAGGTGCGGATACAGGAAGGGGTGGGGAATCGGGGCCATTTTTTCCATCAGATTGTGGCGTGGACCCCACCAGAGGGCCAATGTGGAACTCGAGGCTACCACGCCTAGACTTGGCCACATCTAGCTCCCCCACCTCTTCTCCCACCCTTTCAGCTCCTTGCTTGGCCAGCTTTCTTCCCCCACCCAACGCATACTAGAGGCTCCTTTATGGAGGCCACGTCCCACTCTTATTTGTGTAACTCTCCACTGTTTTCGATGCCTTTCTGCATCTGGCATAATGCTTAGCTCATTTAGGTGTACGATACACGTTTGTTACATAGACAATGGGATTAAGAGCCAACAGAATAGAAAAGACAAAATAAGCGTTAAGAGTGGAGGTGGAGAAACATTCCCACGCTCCTATAGAGCCCAGCCCAAATGTAGAGGATCTTAGTCCCCTCCGTTGCACAAACCTCTAGCTGGATGGCCTCTGGTCATCTGGGGCCTCTGGGCCTCTGCTCCTCCTATCAATCTCCACCAAGAGCCCCGGGCTCTGGAGAGTAGCAGGGACCTTGCTTGGCAGGAGTATGATTCAAAGCCTACACGTTTCATTCCCTCCTTAGTTTCCACGAGAGATGAGCAGCCCTTGTTTGTAGAGCTGGATTCAAGTCAAAATCCTCCAACACACCTTTTATCCATCCCCTGTCACCTGGAAAAGTCGCACCATCTCATCTATGCAAAACTCTCATTTCTAAACATCTGCAAAGGAGTTCATTGCTAATGACCTGGCCAAGATTAGCCAGTCTGACCCTATACCTGTGTGAATGATGGGAGAAATTATGGGAGGAATCTGAAGGGGCTTATCTATAAACACCTGTTGGAAAAACAAAAATACATTCTCCAAAGCAAAGAGAAATAAATAAATGATGCAATCTTCTCATTACCAAACCCCATTGTCTTCCCAAATGTCAGTTTGAAATTTTTTATGTCAAACTCAGAGAAACATTTTTTTTTTCCTCACTTTCTCGCTCTCTTTCTATGCTTTATCAAACTAGATGGAAAGAAACTTTATTTGCTCCAGGAAGACAATGGCCTTATCTTCAACCGAGATCCTCGTCCCTGGAAAGGTGGCTTCCTCTGGGAGCATTTTCATAGTGGGAAAAAGCAGCTCGGGAGAAATAATGAGCAAGCAAAGGGAGTCTTGACTTGACACTGTGATAAATGAGGTGAAACTCTGGCAAGGAACCAGAGTTAGCAGATTCAAAAAGGAAATAAAAAGATAGTTCCATTTTAATGGGAAATATAAAATAGCCATTGTGCAAAAGTCGATTTTTCAAAAGCCAACGAGATAAAGACTATAAGGGAATGACTGAGAGACGAGTAAGATAATGTGGTTGATAATCGGGCGTAGGTAAAGTGCCATCCTCGGAGCCATCAGCTGGCTCTGTGGGAGCGCCTTTTCAAGTTGGCTATCTGCATTTGCTCCTTCTCATTATCATATGTATCTCCGGATGGATTCTTTATGGCTTCTGCTTGCCATATTCCCGCCAGCTGCAGACAGCAAAGTCAACCCAACTTTCTGCAAATTCCAAACTTCTCTCTGTGAGCCGCAAAGCTTCTAGCATCTTCCAAGGTCCCAGACAACAAGAAGCTTGAGTCCAGCCTTACACACGCCTGCTCTTCTCAATGGTCTAGTCTCGTGTGAGATTTATAACTGTGAGCAATATTATACACTGCACTGTCTATCTGTGGGTAAGATCCATGAACCTCCTCAAAATTGTCCTTAGGTGATTGCTAATTAGCAGGCAGACTATTCAATGGAGATGGCAGGACCCCATTTCCAAGGGCAAGTATGGACATACCTGAGGCGGTATAAGAGGCCAGTTGAAGCAGCCGAGCTAATGCAATTTAGGCGTTATATGAAGATAAACTTAGTACTTATCCTTTTGTTTATTAGCTATGTGACCTTGGGCAAGTTACTTAACCTCTTTCAACCTCAAGTTTCTCAATTTAAAGTAGAGATAATAACACATCTAGATTTTCATAAGGATAAATGAAATGGATAGTTCATGTAAAATGCTTAGCACAAGGCCTAGGACATAATGAAGGCTCAATAAATATTAGCTGTTGTGACTCCTCTATAGATACAACTTAGGAATTTGATGCTGTGACCAAGAGGACAGAGATGAGTTTCTTTAAGTTCATTAAGCTAAAGTGACTAATCAAGTTCCATGAGAAATTTCATTTCATTTCACAGAACCATCCAACAAGGCACTCAAGTGCCACTGGATACGACCCTGGGCAGATCTCATACAGGAGACCCTCTAAGCCCCCAATCATCTTCATGCTGTTTACAGATGAGAAAACTGGGGCCTCGAGAATACTATTGTCTTGAACAAGGTCACAGTTAGTGGGAAGCCAGAACTTGACTTCTCCCATTTCCAATCAGGTGCTCTTAACCCTGCCAAGTGCCATTGCTGCTTTGCTGGGTCATAACCCCCAACTCCAGATGAAAATTCACAATGCCTGACACCTCTGTCCACCCCATCAGTGTGAGGAGCTGGAAAGACACATGATTCCTTCTTCAGGACTTTGAAACCTTTAGAAAGAAAGGTGTTTGGTGAAATAAAATGTCGATTTATTTGGGTCTAATGTTTAGGGTTTCTTTGGTCCTGTTTCCACTTCTGTAGATTGGACTCATGACAACTATGAGTACAGCTACGAGAATTACAACCAGGAAGAGAACACCAATCGTGAAGTTAGCCACCCTGAGAATCCTGACTGGTACTATGCAGATGATGGTAGGTACCTAAGCTCTTTGGGGGCCCTCTTGAGATGAAAGCAGCACACCTGGAGGGGGGGTTCTGTTGTTCTATGCATGGGCCTCCTTCTCCTCCTGCTCACTGACCAGCACCATAAAATAGGTATCATATACATGATTTAGGCTAGCTTTTTTTCCAGTTAGAATCATGCACTGTGAGGACCGAAGAGGTTCTTAGAGACCATCTCTCTCATCCTCAAATGACGCATGAAACAGATGAGGCCAAGAGAGGAGTTGGCTTAGCCAAGTGGATACAGTGAGTTAGTGCATCATCATCCAGGTCTCCTGACACTATGAATAGGCGTCATATTCAAAATCATTCCCATACCGTTGATTAAAGGTAGGTCCTAATTATGAAGAAGAGTCTGAGTTAGCATATGGCATCAGATTGTGACATTCACAAATCTGGCATTGGGGCTTTCCTTCCCTTCCACATGGGCTGCGTTTTTCTTTCTCTTCTCATCTTTTCAGAAGCTTTGCACAATTGTTAGGATGTATATGTGCGTGCGTGCGTGCGTGTGTGCGTGTGTGTGTGTGTGTGTGTGTGTACTCATACATGTGTGCTTGTACCACATTTGTTTTTGTGTTTGTGGCTTCATAAACCAAGAACTAGGACAGAAATAAAAATAAGAAGCTGGGCCCAAGCAAAGCCATGTGACTAAATCAAGAGAAGAAATGGAAAGCACTTATCAGTTGGAATAAAAGCTGTTTAACTGTGCGAAGTGGCCTGGAAGGCAGGGCTAAGATATGGGGCATCAGGGGAACATCAGAAGGGACCATCAAAACAAGAGCTGGGCCCAGGGATCCTAGTTCCTGAACCAAAGAACAATGTGTGTGAACAGAAGGATAAAGAATTCCCTGAGGGAAGATCCATTCAGACAACCATGAAAAGCCAAAGGCACAGATGAAATATGACAAAATCTAACTGAACAAGTAGTTGAAGAAAGATGAAGGCCACTGGGTCATTTCCTCCTCGCCGTCAATTTTTCTGTCACCCTCTTGCCTTTGGTCTTCTTGCCTGATGTTCAGAAAGCTTGTGTTTCATTAGGGGTGGGTTTTCTTTCCCCAGTCCTGACCTCCACCCCTGGGCACTGGGAGTAGGGGAGGTCTTCAGGCTTGTGAAATGCCTTCAGCATCAGAGACAGACCCCGTGGCACTCCCAGGGAGACTGGGAGGAGAAAAACATTGATGATGGAAAAGGGGAGTTTCTCAATGAGAAAGGCCGAGGGGAGACAGTCACGGTTCCTTCTTGCCTGTCCTCTTTCTAACCTGCAGCCCTCTCTCTGGTTGTGTGACTGCAGTTTTCCTTGCTTTAGAAGGGCAATGCTGATTTGCCCCTCTCCTCAATCACTAGCTATGCAGTTACTTCCTCATTTGGGCAGGAGACTGACAGTTGATGAGCAAGCCGGGGGCTTCTCACCTGCTGCTCATTGCAAACATTGACTTCTGCCATGTCTTAGATCCATGCCTGTCCAGCCCCTGTGAACATGGTGGGAACTGCCTCATCGATGGGGACACTTTCACATGCAGCTGTCCAGCCCCTTTCTCTGGAAGCAGGTGTCAGAACGGTGAGTGTACCTTCACTGGATTAACTCTTCCCTCTGAGTTGAACAAGAGGCAGTTTCGCCTCCAATTCTAGCAGGTAAAGAGAGATTTAGTGACCCCATGGAAAGGATTATAACCACAGGCATTGTATCATACATAACAGATTCCTCAGCATGGTCACAGGCAGCATCTCACTGGATCTTCACTCCCGTGTGATAAATAGGACTAGTATGTCCGTTCTACAGATGAGAGCATTGAGGCTAAGAAGAGACAAGACCTGGACTCTGAGCAAGATGTATTCCAAACTCGGGACTTTAATTCGTTTGTTTGTTTGTTTGTTTAGAGTGTTTAGACTCACTGCAACAGAGAAATGGGAGAGCAGGAAGAATCCGAGGGCACGTAATGCCTAGCTCAGTTAGAGAAAAGAGCCCAGAGAGCACAGGGGACATGCTCATGGTCACACAGCTAGTTAGGAGACGAGCAGAAATTAGAGCTCTGGTGGTTAACTCCTGGCTCCAGGCTCTCTCTTCCTGCCATCCTCACTCAAGGAGACACTGATAAAAGCTGTGTCTGCCTTGAGTGAGTTCTTATGAGCATAACACAAGGCTATCTGAAAAAGCATGAAGAATAAAAAACTTCTATAGACTAATTGCACCTCTAAAGAGACCCTTGTTTCTGTTCCACCTGGTAACCATGTAACTGAGATAGCGGAGGCCGTAAGAGTCTTACATACATATAGGGTTTTATAATAGACTTTTCTCCTCTACGTCTTCCTCATTTATTTCTTCTATTTTCAATCCTACAAGTCCTTCACTAAATGTCAGTTTGGGATGTCAGCAGAAACATGGTATCTGGGTTCATCCCTCAACTTCTCAGAAGAATGGGGAAAACAGTAAATGGAATATAAAATCAGCTATAAAGTGGAGAAATTCAAATTGCAGCTCTATTTGTTTGTTGAAGGTGTAAAAATTATCAAGATTTTTAATAAAGGCTATGAACACTGGAAGCAATCATCTGTGACCCAAGAATTAGAGAAAAGCCTTGTCTACTGGGTAGCATGGTGTTTCAGGACCATGGACAGGGGCGCACTGTCAGCCGCCGGGCCCCTGAACATTGTAATTTACAGGTATCCCGCTAAGAGAGACGGTCCCCCAATAATGTCTTGTACTTTGGATCTTCTTCTTTATGGATCTCCTACAGTGAAAAACAAGTGCAAGGATAACCCATGTGGCCGGGGTGAATGTCTCATTATTCAGAGTCCTCCCTTCTACCGCTGTGCCTGTAAACACCCTTACAAGGGTCCAGGATGCTCTACAGGTAAGTGCTGGCGTCCCCTATTATGCTAGGTTTTCTCTGCTCTGGCTTGCACCTGGAGTCTCTGCACCCTACTATATGGCAGTCCAGATACATTCGAAGTTTTAATAATATCCAATATGGCCATTATAACTAGGACTTTTTAAGATTCATCGTACCCAGATAGTTATTGAGAACTGACTCCTCTCTGCCCCTTTCTTTTCAAAAAGAATCATCTTGAAATTCACTTCCTCCAGGAAGTCGGCCCTGGTCTATTCTTGGAATGGCCCAGGTAGGGGAATAAATCTATATTGATTCACTGCCATGAGTCAGGCATTGTCTAATGAGATTTACATTCTCTCTCACATTCTCCCAAAAACGCTGCAAAGAGTTTTACAGATGAAGACACTGAAGTTCAGAGAGGTTGATTAACTTACTCACAGCCACACAGCTGTGAAGGGGCAGAGTCAAGTGTCAACCTAGTTCAGACTGACCCCTAAATTCCTTCCCAGTCCATTCTCTTGCTATTTTTTTTTTTTACTGAGTGACCCAGAGCCATCTACTTATGTACACTTTTGTACATGGCCCCCATCACAGTGCTTCGTTCATGTCTGTATATGTTCTTAAAGTTAATATGTACATATACTAGAGTGTCAGTGGGTCTGTCTTTCCCCCTTGGTTGACTCATCTTTGGTGAAAGGATGGACACCAGAAGAGTGCCACCGGTGTCTCCTCATCATCTCAGATGTAGCAGCAATTCCTTCTGAAGAGCCTTCCTGGCCCCACTTCCTGTGTTCGCAGTGGTTCCTGTGTGCCGGCCAAACCCCTGCCAAAATGGCGGCACCTGCTCCCGGCATCGGCGGAGATCCAAGTTTACCTGCACCTGTACCAGCCAGTTCAAGGGGAAATTCTGTGAAATAGGTATGAGTCTCTGCCCCCACTTGCGCAGAAACTCTGGACCACAAGTGAGGCCTTTGGAATCCTTTTCTGATTTGATTTTGTTCCCAGAATGAGATGCAAGTTAAGATTCCCAAACTCTGCTATTGCCTCAGCCTTCTAACCTGAGGGCCTAGGGTGTGTCTGGCTCAAGGAATGTAATAAACTGTGTTGTAGTGAAGGCAAATCAAATACACCTGGGCATCCCCTGGGCTTCAACCCACCTGCCACCAAGTTCAGTGTGAACCAAAATTAAGGAAGTAAGTTCCCACCCCATCTCCCACAACAACTATATTCTGTGTTTTTATATTTTTATTTTTATTTTATTTTTTTATTTATTATTATTTATGCCTGCAGCACCTGGTCTTCCTAGGTGGTCTCCCATCCAAGTACTAACGAGGCCCAACCCTGCTTAGCTTCTGAGATCAGACATCAGGCTTGTTCAAGGTGGCATGGCCATAGACTATGGACTGTGGCTCCACTGGGGTATGAACCCAGGACCTTCTGTGTGTAAAGCAGATGTGCTAACCACTCTACTATGCAACCACATCCTATTCTGTGTCTTTAAACAGGATTAAATCTGGAACTTTCAAGACATCTTCTTTCTAGCACATTGTGGTAAAATCTCAGGGTGATCAATATTCAGGCCTAATCCTCTGATAGACCCACCAAATTCTTCTTGGGAGCAGCAGGCCAGTTGCTCTCAGTTCTCACATCCCTGCCTGCTCTCTCTGAGGTTCCGATGACTGCTATGTTGGTGATGGCTACTCTTACCGAGGGAAAGCGAGTAAGACAGTCAACCAGCACTCATGCCTTCACTGGAACTCCAATCTCCTCTTGCAGCAGCATTACAACATGTTTATGGAGGATGCTGAGGCCCATGGGATTGGGGAGCACAACTTCTGCAGGTAAAAATTATCTTCTTCCCTATCTTCACTCTTGGCTGCTTGTCAGTGTAAGGGTTGGTTTGTCCCTTTCCCCTGCTCCTAGTTTTCCTAGATCAGTTTAGGAATTTGGGGTTGGAACACCGAAATTCATCAGCTTTCTCTCTGGGAAGTCTTTCATACTCAAGGCAGGTTAGGTTATGCTGCTATAACAAGCAATCCCCAAATCTCAGTGGTTTGATTACATCAAAATTCATTTCTTACTAATGTTATGTGTGTTGTGTGGTTTGGTATTGGGGTGGGGGGGGGATCGTGCTCCACAAAGTGATTCAAATACCCAGGAATGGCAAGAAGACACTAGAAAATGGAGCATGAGTTTTGTTCCTGCGAACACAGGAAGTGGGGCCAGGAAGGCTCTTCAGAAGGAATTGCTGCTACATCTGAGATGATGAGGAGACACCGGTGGCACTCTTCTGGTACCTCAAATGAGAAATGACACATCATCTCTGCACACATAATTTATTGGCCAGAAGTAGTCAGAGGGTCCCAAATAACTTCAAGGGAGAAATGTAAAGGAGACAGTGAAATGTCTGGTGAGCATTACAGTCTCTGCCAAAAGGGTGTTCAGGTTTTCCCAAATAAATATAATGCCACTGCTCTCTCTGGTGATGACAAGTTACCTTCTTCCCCTTCTGCTGCCTCCAGACCATTCCGTTGGCTTCCTCTTACTGTTCATTGTTTAACCAAAGCCAGGGACATTCATGATCTGCACATAAAGGGCAAGAGTTCTTTGTGTGGCTTTAAACCTGTTCCATTAAACAAGAGGATTTCTCTTGTGCAGAATACAAGTGACCTTCCACTGCCACTCACCCCGAGCTGTTCCCTTCATGGAGCTGTCTTTGGGGCAACTACCTTGGCAGCCTTTCTCAGAGAATTCCCATGCATGGAATTTAGAGGTTTGGGCAGAGAAGCCCTACTTATACCATGTGTCTGTGGCTATTTCACTTTTCTGACAAAAAAAGAATCTTCAACGGGACCTTGTTTCTTTTCCTATAAAATATTTGATATGTTTCATGGATCTGGAACAAGGCTTGTGAAGTGCTTCCTGGTCATTGGGATTTTCCTCTGGAAGTTAAGGTTTTACCAAAAAACCCTAACTGCCCTAATAAGCTGGGGTCCATATGTGGTCCCAGGAACACACAAGAACTTAGTACTCTTTTAATCAAAGGTCTTTTAATGAGATCCAGTGGGTTTACCAAGCCTTGACCCTGGGTATTATTTATTCTTTTTTATTTTAGAAACCCAGATGGAGACAAAAAGCCCTGGTGTTTCATTAAAGTAAACAATGAAAAGGTGAAATGGGAGTACTGTGATGTCTCAGCCTGCTCAGCCCTAGGTAAGACCATGGCTGTCCAGAGACCCTGGTAGTGGGAAGGATGCAGACCCATAGACATGCATTCCTGGCATTCCATCTCTCCCATTCCAACTGCTCCACCAATCCTCATCCCAGTGGTGACCTAACTGCCTGATCCTCTCCTTGTCTGGGATGCTAAGCAGGTCGTGATGCCTTTGTAAACTTGGGCCAGTAGTCCAACTGTAAACTCATATTTCCTGACTCTGAGTCAGTGCCCTCAGCAAAATATTTATCAATTGCTTGCCATGTGCCAGGAGCTATGCCAGGCTTTGGGTGTACAACAGTGATCCAACATCGGCTGGGCCCCCGTAGCTTCTCAGAATGCAACATGATCTGAATTCTAGCCCCACAGTCTTCCTCTCAGGCTGTCCCGCCCACCTCTCCACCCACATCTAGAACGATGCTCCCTCCCGCCCTGATGAATTGAATCACTTGCCTGAACAGTCTCACTTCTGTGTCTTTGCTCTTATGGTCACCTCTGTCTATAATACTCTGTTCGTATCTGCTCATGTCCATACTCAACCATTCTTTGAGAACCAACTCAAGTAGCCCCTCCTCCAGGAAGTCCTTCGTAATTTCCCAAGCGCAGAATTACCTCTCCCTTCTTATAAATCCCAATGGAATGGAACCAGTCACCACCCTTACAATGCTTAACCGCTCTCTCCCTTGTATGACAGTTATCTGTGTAAGTCTCTTATTGTCCCCACTCTATTACATCTGGGTATCTTTCCCTTTACAACAAAAAAGACTCCCAAATATATGTATATGTTAATGAATAGCTAACTACATACCTAGTGATGGATTTATATTTACACACACATATCTTTGTGTGTGTATATACGTCAAAATAAGAATGAAAAAGCAACATCTTCATTGTTAATTCTGTAGACTTGCATTATATTTATCACGTATTCAACAAATATTAATTGTGTACCTACTGCGTGCTCACCCTGCATGCACCAGTTTCTTAGCTCTGGACACTTGCTGAGCTAATGGACTTGGTGTCATACCTCTGACAAGGTCCTTCTGAGGATCTGGAGGGAGGATGAGTGGCATGATTTGTCTTTCTTGTGTCCCACAGATATTACTGACCCAGAGAGAAGCCCCATAGAGCCCCTGATGGAGCTTCCGGGGTTTGACTCATGTGGGACGACTGAGATATCAGAGAGGAAAATCAAGAGGATCTACGGAGGCTTTAAGAGCACGGCGGGCAAGCACCCGTGGCAGGTGTCCCTGCAGACCTTGGTGCCACTGACCGTCTACATGCCCCAGGGACACTTCTGTGGGGGGGCGCTGATCCACCCCTGCTGGGTGCTTACTGCTGCCCACTGCACTGAGTAGGTGACTGCTGGGGGCAGCGGTCAGGGCGACCTGAGTCTATGGGGCTGTTCTCCCCTTCCCAACTGATCAGCATCTTGACAGGTCTAGCAGGATTAGTGGCTCTGATCTAGCTCCAAGAGTAAAAGAGTGGTTCTTTAAAACCAGGTGGAAAAGACCTATGATGTCTAGAATGCTTGCTTACCTTTGAATTATATGTATTACGACATTTAATCCACAAAACAATCTACCAGAAGACAAGCTGAGGGAGGACAGAGGTGTTTATCTGTTATTAATTATAGTGTCCCCAGTGCCAAGAACAGGTTTTGGTACAGAACAAGTGCTCAGTAAGTGTGCAATGAAAGAATTGATTGCTACTCTCATTTCATGAAGGCGGACCCTGAGTCTCAGGAAGGTTTAGCACCTTGCCTTACGTCATGTGGAAAGCGGGCGAGTGGGATGTGAACCCAGATATACCTGCTTCCTTAACCTCTTCAGTCCTGCCATGGACAGAGAAAATAACATGCTCTCATCTGATGCCATCACCAGTGAGCCTCCTGGGTCAGGTGTCTTCAGTCACAACTCCTTTGTGCCTCAGAGTAGACTGAAACCCACCGGGGAGCCTGAAGAATCACCACCTTCCCCGAGTTCCCCAAGTTCAAGGTCAGGGCTGATCCCACGTAGCCCAGGTTTTGGTGGTAGCCTTAAAGGTCTTCCAGTCCATGCTGTTACTAAACAATTTCTTCAAGGATTCTAAGAGATGTTCTTCAAGAGAGGTCATGCATGCAATATCAGCACCCACCAAGAATATTTGTTCAAGACATTAATTGGCTGCTTTTTAGAAAAAATCATAGAGAATGAGATGTCTCCCAGGAAGCATGGGATATAAGTTATAGCTTACATTTAGAGACTGTTCCATTAGTAAAGCAGTTTCCTCACATTACTTCATTTGGACCACATAGCAGAGTTCTGTGAACAAGACGATGATTACAGATGAGGATGCCAAGGCTGCAGAAGGTCGGGTCATTTGTCAAAGGTCACACAGCTCACCAGGAGCAGAGCCAGGGTTCGGTTCCAGTCCCTCAAGTGGCAGGGCTAGTCCCTGACCATCTTACTTTCTCTTGCAGCATAAAAGACAAGAATCTAAAAGTGGTGCTAGGGGACCAGGACCTGAAGAAGACAGAATTCCATGAGCAGACCTTCGGGGTGGAGAAGATTTTCAAGTACAGCCACTATAACGAAAGAGACGAAATTCCCTACAATGACATTGGCAAGTCTCTTCTAGTGTAGATCTCCTGTGGGTCTTGTCCTGGGTGGATTTCTCTGCTGGTGGAAAGCTGAGGTTTGGTTCTGTGTGTTCCCTCAAAGACCCCGTAAAGTAGAGAATTTATTCCAGAGCTTTTTAGTTCTTAAATCCCAGTGTTGTGGATAAATACGCACCAGCTCTTAAAGTGAGGGGGAGAGATGCTAGGAACATGTCGTCAAAAGAGCTCAGCCTTGAACTCCAGCTCCCCCACTTACTAGCCAGCTTCACCTCTCTTAGCTTCGGTTTGCTCTTCTATGAAATGGGAACACTGACATATAACTTGCAGCTTCCTGTGGGCTGGGCGACATAGTGTCTATATGAACATGATGCGCACATGTCCCCACGCACATCTCACGCCTGGTAGGCAGCGATATACTTAAGCCGCTTTCTGCTCAGTCCTGCACCCTATTTCTACATTCACAATACCTCTCACTCTCTCTCCTTCCTTAATATCTTTTTTTTCCCCCTTCTTGAGGCTTGTTTTGTTGTTGTTTTTGTTTTTGTTTTTAAATGGATTAGAAATGCTTTTAAACTTAGCTATTATTTCTTGATGTTGCTCTCGGCCCGAAGTGTTACTCCTCCCCAGGCTGAAGTTAAAAGAATGAAATGACAGAGGAAGAAGTTTTCCAGGCATTGGAAGTGGACGTCGCTCCGACCACCTTCCGATCAACCTGAAGCGGATGCTTCTTTGATAACGAGGTTATCATCACCCATTTCTCCTTTCTCTCTCTACCTAGCTTTGCTCAAGCTAAAGCCGGTGAACGGTCACTGTGCCCTGGAATCCAAATACGTAAAGACTATATGTTTGCCTGATGGTCCCTTTCCCTCTGGAACTGAATGTCACATCTCTGGCTGGGGTGTTACAGAAACAGGTGAGTCTGGCCATGCATTCTCCTGAGACTCAGGTGAGTTACTTCAATCAGGGGAAAAAAGGATCAAACTCAAGTGCTCTTCTGAACTTGAAATTAGTGTTATACTCAAAGCGTATTATCAAAAGAGAGAGATTGCCTTTTCTCTCAAGATCTAGTTAAATCTCATCACCTCCAAGGAATGTTCTTTGCTCTCCATCTGTTCCTGGCTCCTACCCCTAAATCCTTGACTTTGGTCAAGCATTCATCCTTTATCCACAAAGACCTTTCTCCTTCCCTCAGTAGGTTAGAAAGAGGATAAATTGGAAAAAAGATAAATTTTGGAGTCAGATATGTTAGTGTCTTGGCTTTGTCTCTTGGACAGCTGAGTTTTAGTTTTCCAATAACCATATGTACCTCCTAGGTTTGGAATCATAATAGGTGACAGAATTCTATAGAGATACTCCTTACGTCAGCCACTGGAGGGCAGGGGTCAGGTCTCATTTATCTTTGCTTCTCCTGCAGTGCTTTGATCAGGTTGCTCCACATAGTAGGTGTTCTATAAAGTTTTGTTAAATCGAGCTATTGATTTGTCTCTAGGATTTGGTCTTATCTTAAAAAGTAACCAAAGGGTTACTTTCCTCACAGTACTGATTAGATTATATCCTTTAATATGTGAAACTCAGAAGTGTATTTTAAATCTTTCTCAAATACCCAAAATGGATTTCTCTTCCCCACAAATCTTGTCTTTAATAATGGAAAGCTAGAATCACTTTAAAATAGGCCTATATTCATAAAGAAAGTGGACTGTATTATGAAAATTTGTCAGAGGACTTGGAGGAAAGAAGAATTTGGTTAATTGGATTTAGAGTTAACCAGAACCTTTTCTGTAGCTATGTTCATTAAAGTCCATCTAAACCTTTAAACATCAGCATACTGACCAGAGCAGATTAAGCAGAAGAGAAGTTCTTTAAGGGAGGAAATGTCTGCTCTTGAAAGCAGGTGATCTAGATCAGGGGTCCCCAACCCTTGGGATGCAAACGAGTACCAGTCCTTAGCCTGTTAGGAACTGAGCCGCACAGCAGGAGATGAGTTGCGAGCGAGGCGGTGAAGCTTCATCTGTATCTGCAGCCGCTCCCCAGCACTAGCATCACTGCCTCAGCTCAGGCATTAGATTCTCAGGGGAGCACCGGTCCCTGGTGCCAAAAAGGTTGGAAACTACTGATCTAGATGATCAGGCAGGGGTATTCAGCTATCATTAAAAATCTCCTGTGTACCAGCATGGGAAATTTAAAAATGGTTTAAGGTACCCTCCCTGCCCTCCCAACCTCATGGTCTAGTTGAGGAGACAGAACGGGGAATAAATGATTCTGCCCCTTTGTGACAGCACAGCATCGAAAGTTCAGAAAGCCATGGGCAAAGTCATGGGGAAGGCTGTGGGCAAAGAGCCAACAGCCTTGGAAAATGAGGCTTCTCTGCCCATCTCCTGGAAAAACTCTTCCTTCCTGAACTCTGAGCTCGTGGCCCTCTTCTTACCTCTGCTGGCTTCTGGTGGGGTGGGTGCCATCCTAGTCCCCACAGTGGTGACCTCTTCTCTCTGTCCCACAGGGGAAGGGTCCCGCCAGCTCCTGGATGCCAAAGTCAAGTTGATCTCCAACACTGTGTGCAACTCCCGCCGGCTGTACAACCACACGATCGATGAGAGCATGATCTGTGCGGGAAACCTTCAGAAGCCTGGGCAAGACTCCTGCCAGGTCAGAGACTCCGATGGCACTTGGAGAAGGAGAGGCTGGTGGGACCTTACACTGGGCACAGAAGCCCCTAAGAGTCCTGGGCTGGGAAGCAGTTTCAGGGGACCCCCCTGCCTTAAAGCACAGGCACAGGCAGCCATAGCTGTCCTCTGCCAGATTGGAACCCACACCAATCCAGGATTGCTCAGCATAATAACCATAGTGGTCACTTTCCCTGCATCGCCAAATTTAATTCTCATGACACTCTAGCCAAGGGGGTGTCGATGTCCTCATTTGACAGACACATGATCAAGATTTGACATTATTTGTGGGTCTACTATATTGGCCGATAGCACGTGGTAAGTAGAAGAGCAGGAATTTGAACGATAACGGCCTGTGGGACACCCAAGCCTTTGCCACTTTGCTCCACTGTGTTAAATGTGAAGATAGTGCTTGTGACCTCAGTGCTGGGCAGCAAAGAACTATCCAGAAGACTAGTGGCTCTAAGGGGAAAATGAGAGGCCTAGAGAATTTACAATGTTAGCTAACTGATCACTGGGATTTAAGAGAGAGAGAGAGAGAGAGAGAGAGAGAGAGAGAGAGAGAGAGAGAGAGAGAGAGTGTGTGTGTGTGTGTGTGTGTGTTG